AGATCACACATGAAGGCTCAGGCTTTGGCTGTGCCTGGAGGGCAGGCAGCCCCCCTCCCCTCGGGCAGGCAGCAGCTCTGGGAGCACTGGGCTGTGCCCAGCTCAGCAGCTGCTTCCCTCCTGGTGGCCAGGACAGACGCGGTGTCTGCAGAGCAGGGAGGTGCAGTGGTTTGAGGGGTAAGGGCTGTTGGCAATGGTCTTCATCCTTACGGTAGCTGCTGTATCAGAACAATTTAAATGCTGGTTCCAGCCCAGTGTTGCCCAGTATGATGTGGTTTCACAGCTGAAGACGTGCCTGGAGGTGCACCTCTCGCCCAGATGTGCTGCACCTCTCGCCCAGATGTGTGCTGCCACAGGCTCTTACCTCTGCCTGTGCCCTCCCTGGCTGGCTCCGTTCCACGGGCCAGGCTGGTGGCTGCTGGGCAGGCAGTGGTTCCAGACAGGGCTTTCCCTGGGGGAGCAGCTGCAGCAGCAGGGCCCGTGTCTGTTCTCTTGGTCCCCAAAAAGCCATTTCCCTGGCGAGGGCAGCCTGCCCCTGAAAGCAGCTAACGCTCCACTCCCCTTTTTCCCACCCAGGTCATCCTCTTTCAGTACTGACTGCACGAGCTCTTCCTCAGCTGCCCGTGGCACTCCCAGCACCACTGCCCCTCAGCCGCTGAATCACAGCCTCCAGCCCAGGGCAACGGCTCTCAGTCACGCAGGAGAAGCTCAGATCCAGCATTCTCAGATACTTCCATTGACCAGCACCTAACATCCACTATTATTTCTCCAGCAACACTCTGTGTATGTGTGTGTTGAGTGCAGAGTTACATTTTTCACTTGTTTCTTGTGGACTTGTAGAATGACCATGAGTCTCTCCGAGGCAACGCCAGACACAGAATCAGTGACTCTCCTGTGCTTGCAGATGTTGCTCCCACACCGATGGGAATATGAACACACCACAACATGCTGAGTCTCAGGGGGGGTCGAGGATCACCTCTGAGCATAAAGGAAGGAGGAACTTACGTGGTTTGGCCCGATTGTCTTTTTGCAGCACTGAAGCGCTGTCGGTTCCCGGACATCCCTCCTCATTTCCACTTGCATGTGTGAAATCTGAAATGGGCTTTTTGGCTCAGCAGCTCAATGTGTACACAGACCTTCCTGAGCCAAACTCGCAGGTAGCTGAGACTCCACTAAGTGGAAAACATGATGCCAGCTGGAAATAGGCAGTTTTTCTTCCTTCTCAAAGTGCTTTAGAATCACATGTCTTTTGATCGTTCTAAGGTAAGTAAATCTTAGTGTTTTCCCCCCCGTTTTATAGGAGGGGAAACTGAGATGTCCTGAACTGAGAGGAACCATGGGGGTTGGTGGCAGAGCCAGGATTAGCACCCTGAAGTTTTTGATTGCTGACTTGTTCTTAGAACACTGAATATCTCTCTCCTCTCACAGCCATCTGCAGAATCATTTTTTTTTAAAGTTTTTTTTTTTTTTTTTTTAATCATTCTTTATTAACAAGCTACTTTATTTCCTTGGACTCATATTGGATCACAAATGGGTGATTTCAGAACATACCTACACAAACCTCTCAGACACTCCATACTCTGGGACTGGGGAATCCTCAAAGGAAGCTGGCTGTAAAGGTGTAGAGAAGTTCTGCCCTGGTGTGGACCAAAGTTCAGTCAGTGGAAACAGTGGGGTAGAAGCTGGAGACCAGTTAAGAAGGCAAAAGCTGCAGTAAGGCCAGCAGGAACAATGGCTAACTGAGTGATGGACAGCAAGATGATGGGCTAGTGCTTATCCAGCAGCATCACTCTGATCCCCTCTGCCCTCCTGCTGCTCTGCCTTGCTGGGGGACGGCTGCTGCTCCTGCCAAGTCCTCGGAGGAAGGCGCAGCCCGGGAGGAGTGCTGCTGGCAGGGCAGGCACCACAGGGCTCATTGCAACAGCAAAGGAAGAGCTCAGCAGTCTGGCCCCAAATCAGGAAAAAAACTCTGAAATGATCCTTCATTGACGGTAATAACAGAAAGTAAACAAGTAACCTTTGCCAGCCCTTCTCAGTTTGCACCAAGCCAAAAGCAGGTCTGTAACGAAACCTCTCTCCACGCAAGCACACGGGTCTGCCTTGCTGCTAAGTGTCTGTGAGGCCACGTTTCCAAGAATGTGAAAGCCTACTATGAGCCACAGTTAGTGCATGATACGACTGAACTGTGCCTGAGGAACAGAAGACAGGAATCCATCCGTTACATAACTTGTTTTCAATCTGAACTGTAGATACACGTGCTTTTCGCTCTGGGAGATCCTGGATCCAGCGCTGGCCCTCTGGTGTGGGCAGCCCTCCCACTGGTGTGGGCAGCCCTCCCTCTGGTGTGGGCAGCCCTCCCACTGGTCTGGCCAGCTCGTATCACACACGAGACAACTTCTCCTGCCCGTGCCCCCGAGCTCCGTGTGGCACCGAGGGCGGGCCCACGGCTCCGCTCACCCCTCTGACCCCACGGGCAGTGCTGCATGGAGATGTGGATGTCTGCTGAGGTGGCCACCAACTTCTCTTGGTTTGAGAAGTATCTGAGGGCAAGCATGCGCTGGTATTTGTTGGAACAAATATCTATACACACATACACCCCTCTGTGTGTGTATATATATTAAAAGTAATATATAGAGAGTGTGGTGGCAATACTGTGGAGAATTAGGCCAGTGTTGTGTCTAATTGCAGCCAGCAGCTCTATCCCCAATTTAAAATAACATTTGAAAGGAGAGAGGAAATTAAGTCCACAAAGTCTTATTGCCACGTCCTGACGTGCAAATAGCTGTTTCCAGTGGTAACCAGTGGTAAGACACTCCTGCACACCTGACCTGACTGGAACCAGTGCTGCTGAGTTGTCCCCGTGGGGCTGTGCCCATTGCAATCACTTTTGTCCTTGCCTGTAGCAGTGTTGAAGGGTGGGCGTTCGTTTTGTTGGCTGTTGGTGGAGCGTTTGTGACCTTGGGGGTGAGGTGGGTCGCCGTGTCCATGCGCAGCATGGTGGAGGAGGTGGAGGAGGTGGTGGTGGAGGAGGTGGTGGTGGTGGTGGTGGGCAGGGTCACCATGGCCCAACGCTCTCCTCTGTTTGTGCTCGCGCATCCAAACGACCGTTTAGTTGTGGACTTGGTGCCATAAATGAACAGGTAGTTACTTCACTTAAGACTGAAGGAGAGACTTCAGGCTGGAACTTGACTTGACATCCCACAGTACTTGAGGTTTCCACAACCATTTTGTTGAGGAGGGAAAAATTTGATGCGTTTCTCTTCTGTCTCGGTGGTGCAATGAAAGGGAAACTATTAAATATGTATCTGCTAAATATCAACTTAGTTACTGACCTGAACCCCCCACCTGTGAACTGGACTGTCTCTCCCTGATTTTGTAACTGGTCCCAGGGCCAGGCCTGGAGCCCGGGAGCTCCTTGCCCGGCCCTGTGCACGCTGGGCTCTGGGGCACGTGCCCCCAGACGTAGCCAGGAGCAGCTTTGCTAATTCAGAAATCAGGCTCTGTTTATATTAAGCCCAAATTGTTTGCAAAAACTGGAAGCAATTCAGCTTGTGCAGTTTTAGAGCTAATTATGTGTATGGAAAATACTCAACTGTACCAAGAATGTAAGAAATCCTCTAATTTATTCAATACATTGTTTCACAACATATTTCACACTGACTGTTGCCACTGAACCAAACCTTATCTCAGGTCATTTGCATTCATCTCCTGTCTGTAGATTAAAAAAAAAAAAAAAAAATTATTCTCATTTTCTTAGTTTATTCAGTAATTGCCAAATGGGTTCTGGTGCAGCAATGCAGCAATGCAGACTCTGTGTACTAAACTTTTCCAGTTGCTATTTACAAAACCTTTTGCAGACTAAATCCAATGCAGATAGCCAGTGGAAGGCTCTTCACTCCAGTTTAATAAGGTAACTAAATATGGCTAGGCTCTGAATGCAGAATGGTTTACAGTTTTATTACCAATTGGGGTTTTTTTTGGTTTTGGCTCATGCTGGTTAACCCCCATACCCGAGCTAAAGGTGCTTACACAACTCACTAGTTGGGACAGGGGAGTGGGAACCAACCCTGCACGACTATCAGTGATCTCTCTGTAGGATGCCAACTATAGACACATCAGTTTTATTTCATCTGCCAATCATTTTGTTGTAGCATGTTGCAATTCTGCATGTCTTGGCTACAATGGTTAAAAAAAAAAATTCTCTGAATGAGTGGACAGTCAAGACTAATATTTATTTTGAAAAAGTAAAACTAAATTGTAAGCACTTTTTTGTAAAACCAATGTCTGTTTTGTTACATACTTTTAATGTTGTGCTTTGTAAATGTCTTATTTGTGTAATAAATAAAGTTAATGCAAGTAGAAGTGCTGGCACTTACATCCAGAAAATGATGTAATTCCATTTTATTTTATTTTTAAATACTTTCTGGCTTACTAATCAAGCAGCAACCCACCCAGTTTCACTCTTTTATTATTTTGTTAAACTCTGGCTTCAGGAGAGTTCAACAAACGTTCGTAGTAAATGGATATAATTTCCTAGTTAGCAAACCAGTCATTAAAGAATACCTCTGGTGTACATTATTACAATGATCAATCAATATCAAAGTACTGAGCAAAAAGAGAGGAAAGGAATTCACCAGGACAGCTAACTAAAATCTGGGAAAATAATGTTGATTAAGATGGATTTGAATGATTTCAACACTGAATCTGAGGCACTCTTTTTAACAAATTGTTTTCAGGCTTAATAACATTTATATATACTACACTACACTACACACCTCCCAGGAATATTATTGTGAGTACAGTTGGCTTTTTTTCCATGGCTTTTTCTCAGCATGACTGATTAAATGATTATTTCCATTTTTGTTTGTGCTGACAAAGATGACAAAAAGATTATATTCCTGTAGAGGGAAAGGGTGAGACAAATCCACGAGGACAAATTAGGTTTATTGTGAGTCAGATTACCTGCTTTGGAATATTGTTGTCTAGCAAAAAACCTGTTTTCATGGCTTCAGTTTGTGTTCAGTTGTTTCATCCCAAGCTCTCCGGCAGGTCTGAACGATCCATTCATGCTCCTCGTCGTCTAAAAGGGAGATAAAGAGAATGCCAAATATCACCCTGTCAGACCTGGCCTTTGCTTCACTAGGGTCCAGCTCAAACAAGCCATTTTTCCTTTGAGGAATAAATCCAGTTGTAGCCATTGGCATCTCTTAGAACACATTTTTATTGTTGCTTCTTTAAAAGATCTTGTGCTGTTGTGTAGGAGTTTGTCAAGGCAAGAGGTGCTGGTTCTGATGTAATGGCTGTTTGATAGATTAGCTTGGGTGGAACTATGAGATTTACATGTGCAGCTTTTATTTTTTGCCTTTTTGGCAGGAGATGTGCAGGAGATATGTTGAATCTATCAGAAATGAAGATACATGTTTTACAAATACTGTGTTTGTGTTGCTTGTCAGTTTATGAAAAGTAAAGGCAAAGAAAAATCAATAGTCAAACCCCAGGTTCTTGTCTTCCAGGTTTTCAATGCTGCTTTGGAAGTGTATGTTATGATAGGTATCAATAAGCTGATAGAGTGGCTGATAGCTTTATTTTAGACCAACTTCTGTGTCCCTTGTTAGTATTCATGTCTGTCATACTTATTCTCAGAGAGTAATGACAGTGTGGAAAAAAAAATCAAAGACAATGTAGGGAACCAGCAAAGTTTGAATAGAAATTTTTGTGTATGATTACAAAAAAAAATAACTTGGCAAATGTTAAGTTGTGGCTTCTTAATTCAAGGGGTTTAAACAGTCTTGTCTCCAAAAACTGTTCTGCAGCCTTTTCTTTAGTGTTTGTGTAGAGGAAAAGAGATCTATGTAGTAGACCAGGAAAAACAAACTTCAAAAAGCCTTGAAAAAAAAAAAATCAAAGTATGACTTAAAACAATACCTGTATTTATTTTTATATAAATGAAATGTATTGGAGCTGCTTCATTTGTTTACCACTGTCTTAACAAATTCACATTGGCTCTTGTGATGTGTGTTTCTATCCTGCCTCCATCTGAATTTTAAGGGGTTTGTAGCAGCCCTTATTACCTGACAGGATGGATGATTGTGAGAAGGATGTGGCCAAGGGGCTGTAAGCCCAGCACGGTGACCATCAATTCTGTGCCCTGCTTCAGTAGGTCAAAACAGACCCAGAAGAAGCACGTTGCTTCTATGGAGTCAACTTTTTGTGGAGACCTTTTGTCTGTGGAGTTGTACTGTTAAGTTAAAGCAACGTAGTTGCATTTGAAATGCAAAAGGAAGGAAGCTCCTGGGAATGAAGTCGTGCTGGTGTAAGAAGTGGTAGTTCACTGAAGGGTATGTGACAAATTAGGTCTGATGCACATGTCTTCAAGCTTGGGGGTTAATTTATTAATTGTAGTGGTGTTTTAATTAAGTCAGTTTTGTCTTTCCTTTTTTTTGTCCATCTTTATTTCATGCTGCCCTCCCCTTTTTCTTACCCCTGGCCAAGTGAGTCGAGTGCATGCCTTTGCTTCCCATAAGGTGCTGCTCCCACGCAGCTCTGTTGGCATCCTGGTGAGAGGGGCTAAAGGAAAGCGTGTGCCAAGGCCCTTGTCCCTGGGCAGCACTCCTCTGCCCGCGTGGCAGCCAGCAGGCAGAAGGGCTGGGCACTCACAGGAGGATGTCCCTGCCAGCCTGCTCTCCAGCCTGCTCTTTGCATGCAGCCCCTGGTTTCAGACAAAGCACTCACTTGTGCCTACTGACCCTCTCCCCATTTCCCACTCAGGGGTGCTGGCTCGAACAGCTTGGCCTTGCTGGTGAGCTCCCACCTTTGAGCAGCACCCCAGTGGTCAGGGGCAGGTTGGAGGACACGCTGGTGCTGCCCTTGTTCCAGCAGCTCAGCCTGCAGGTTTGCTTTAGTGACTGAAAAATGGTTACCATTGGGATGGAACAGCTAAGTTCACCTCTTCCCCTCTTTCACTGACATGATCTCTTTTTTATTCCTTATGCCTGCGAATCAATAGCTCCATAACAAACCACCCTGTTAATGGCACATTTCTTATTTGAGTTATAAACTAGGAGACAATAAAAGCTGAGGAGTGTGCGAAAAGGGAAATTAAAAAGATGAGCACTGCATCTTGCTAAAAGACGACGCAGTCCTTACAGAGGCAGAGATTCCACTGAGGGCTGCAGCAGGAATGCAAATGTGGTCCTTAAGCTTTCTTAAAACATCATCAAAGCCATAATCAATGTGCTGGCTTTTGTTCTATGCACTAGGTGTTCCAGCACGGTCACGGCGGGATCACGTGAGCTCGGCTGTAGCAGATGTTGTCCAGCCTAGGTAGCTCTGTGATTTTAGCTGGCATTGCCTTAACTAAAAAAAATTTATCTGAGCTTGTAATAATGGCACAAAAATGAAACTTTGTCTGTTTCTGCCATGGTGAAATACAAAACTTACCCACGCTATACATCACCACTGTCTAGCCTGTATCTGGGGACAGATCTACTCACTCACTGAGTGCTAGGAATAATCAGCCTGCCTTCCTAGGGAGAAACCCACAGCGCCCGCTGTGATGAGCATCAGAGGTATAAGCACTCAGAAAGGCAGAGGCTAACTTGGCTTCATTTAACAGGTTTCAAACGTACCCTCAGTTTGCCCAGATTGTTTCCTTCTGGGATTTTGTGAAAGCACACAAGGCAGGTTGCTCTAAGGATTTTAGCCTCCCTGGATCCATCTCAAAATGTCTTTGGTTCATGCAGTGATCTGATCCCATGCAAATTAAATATGTGCTTATAATCACTGCTTAACTTGCATGTGGTTTAATCAGATGTAAAAATATGAATGAGCTCTATGAATTTCAACTTCTTATGTGAAACAAAAAACCAGATGTAATGACGCAGTGTTCCAAAAAAATAACTTAAAGCAAATCCCTGGAGCTGCCATCCAACCCAGACACAGTGTGCTACTGGTCCTTGCTCTGGGGAGCAGGAAAGGAAAGAATGGACCCAGCACAGTGAGGAGAACCACAACCCAGAGATGAGAACGGCTCCAGGGCTAGCTATGTGAGAAGAGGCAGGGAAATATTAGAATGTAAAGAGTTAAGCTATGGTAAAACATACTTTTGCTACACTAAAGAAGACTGGTTGATAATTACTGTAGTTTTAGGGCTATTTGAATCAGTGCAGCTGCAACCTCTTCAGTAGTAACCCCTGAAACAAGACAAACTGGGTTTATTGTACTGAACAAGTCTTAAAGCTCCTCCCTGATTGTTAGTAATTGGCAGCAATGGACTTAACAGCCTCTTGACTACCCTTTTTACACTCTACCTGACTGTGCAGCTAACAATTTAAATCACAGATGCCGATCCTTCTTTGTGGCAGCTGCTTGTTAACTACACGTTCCTCTTTTTCTGTCACTGGCTGCTTCCATAACCCTGCAACACCAGGGTTAGATTGGAGAATCACATTTCATCAATATTTAAAATGGAATTAAACCTTGAAGTTTGATTAATGCTACCAGATAGTGAGTTGTAATCACTATTTTGCAAATTGCAATTGTTTGAATATGTTAATATGATTGTCTAAGCACATCTTCACCTTCAGAAGTAATTTTCCCTTTAAAAAAGATCTGAAAAAAAAATACAAACTCTTTAATCAGTGGTAAATTATCACCCTATGCACAATTAGGTAGTCTGGCATTCTTCGTGTTGTGTGCTGAATTTTGTGTTGCCATATTTGTCTTTAAAAGTTTATCAATTTTTTTAGATTTTCCTCAGTAGAATAAACATGCATGGAACCAACTTTCCTGAAGCAGGACTAACCACGTTGGTGGTTGAAGGTAAAAAAGCTTTGTCTGAAAATGTTACTGCAATCTGCTGTATCCCTGTTCAGTTAGAACCTGCTAACAAATTATTTCTTCCAAAGTCAGTGAAATATAATTATTATTATAATGACATATTATTGAAATATTGAAACTAAGAGCAACAGCATGAGATCTTAATGGATGAGCTGTTAGAATATATGTAATTATTGACTGATTCATTAGAATTATTTTCTTGTGTCTCAATCAAAAATAGGATCAGTTTTCTAGCACTCACAAAATACATTTTGAGTATTGTGGGTCAGATTCTCAACCAGCCCAGTCTGGGATAGCTTCTCTTTTATTTTTGTAACTAATTCAGGCTGTTTTCATTAATCAGGCAGAGGCTTATGGAGCCAACCCTGGTAGCCACCTGCACAACTGAGCCCCAGAAACAGCATCTGCCACAGCAGATGATTAACCAGGGGTGCAAGTCGTGCTGATCTGCTGTTGGTCACTGTCTGCACAGCCAACAGGTCAGTTTGGATAGAGCCTTTTTAGGAAAAAAAAGACCCAACTAAACCTGTTGGTCGTCCTGTTTTCCTGTAAGTAGCCCACTTCAAAATTAGTTCTTCTCAACAAATATTACTTAGCATGCTTCTTGTTTGGGTGGCTTTAGGGGAAGCTCCAAACAGCAGCTAAGTCTAAACAGGTGTCTGTCAAAAATGCAGGTGTACTCCACAGTGAGCTCAGGCTGCACCCCACTGAAATCAGTGGATTTCTTCTCAGCATCTTGGCAAAATGAAACCTCTTGTCTAATTTTCAATGTTCAGTCTAAAAGTAGAGGCAGAAGAGACTCTCCCAGCTAGACACTCCAGATTTATCTCTCAGCTGGGATTAGAAACAGCTGAAAATTCAGGGTGGGCTTGCTTCAGGGTGCTTCCAAGTGATGACTTGAAAATGCACTGTAATTTAGGTGCACTTAATCTTCCTATATTAAATACATATTGCAAAGTTTAGAATTATTTGCTTCTTGCTATCATGTTTCTGTGTTGCTTATGGAAAGTTCAGCCATGAGGGACTTCTTAGGACTCTGCATTCTTAGATGCCTGCCATGATCCAGGGAGGAGATGGTCAGCAAAGAGCAGTATTAAAAACCATAACCCTCTTAACTTCCCCAGGAAAGCACCTAGAGGTGCACAGGAAGGTGTACTGCATTGAAATGACAATACTTCATGGCTTACACAGGGAAAAAATCTACACTGTTCATCTTAAAAACCTTGTCTGACTCCCTGTTGT